TTCCCAGCCCGCACCCGGGGCTGAGCCCGGCACGCAGCACCGTTCCCGGGGTCACTGCGGCTTCCGACAGCGCCCCTCACCGCCTGCCCTGGGGGGCTCCGGCGCCCCTTCCCACCGAGGCTCTCCGTGCCCCGGTAGCAGAGCCGGGAAGGCAGCGCAGCCCCCGCAGACGTGGTGTGCCCCGCCGTCACTCTGGATGGCGCCCGTGCAGCTCGGACCCCGCTGCCTGGGTGCTCCTGCCTCCTCTCCTGCCTCCTCGCCTTCCTTCCCGCTTCACCCACCTTTTGCAACCTTTTTTGGGGCGTCTCCGAACAGCCCTGCACTTGTTCTACGCACATTTGTGCTGTAAAAGCAGAACACTGATGGAGATTTCTGCCAAAACACAGTATAGACCTTAATTTTGGCCTATTAGGATTTACTGCTGCACTCCCACAAAAATTTATCTTCCTTTTCTGGGTGAAAATTAATTTCAAGCTATTGATGTAGGGGAACGCAGGCTGCATTTGTGGGTGTGCATATGTAAGTTTATACACACTGACTCCACCAACAGCTACTGCGCTGCCCAGATGTTCGCATAACATCTGCATCACGGTAGGGAAAAGAAAACCCTAAATCAGTATTTTTGAAGAATTCTGAACTGAGCGGTCTTTTCTTCCTCTTGTTAAAGTTTAGTCAATTAAATAACCAGCACACCGGCGTGACTGAAGCTCCCACACGCCACTGCTGGTCATGGTGTAGGTGCTAAGGGCCTCATGTCACTCAGGTGCTCCCGAGGACCTGCTAAGCCAACGATTCCGCTTTGCTACGAGGTAGGGATGTTACAGGCAGCACTAACAGCTTCCCACCACGTTCGTGGTTAATTCTTTGGTGGGATTAAGTTCTCCAAACGACGGATGGTGGGGGTGCTGGTGGGCAGGGCCGCGGGAGGAAGGGGCTCCCGTCACTCCAGGAATACCCTACAACGCTTCTCCGCCACGCGGGAGGATGGAAATCGCCACCTGTACGCGGCAGGACGAGCAATGCTGCCGTGCATTCCTACGGCGCGGCGTTAAGCCTGCTACCCCTACTCTAATTAATTGATGGACTGCTAAAGAGTAGCAGTAACCTGTTTGTCGTATTGTAATTGAATTTGGGCTAATTTAAGCCAGAGAAATTCGAGGAGTTCATCCTTCTTCAATCAATAGAAGCTCCCCTTCAGTGACCCATTTCAAGATCGCTTCATAAAAAATAACACACTTTGTTTTCATAAATTCCGTCCCTATGACAGGTGCTCAACGCTATCGGCTGTTCCTGCAGACTCCTCTCTGCGCGCAGATGGAGCCCCTCTCGCGATCGACGGCCACGGACTCATCAGCCGCCCCCTCCGACAAAGGTGCTAATCACCTTTGGGTGGGTTCATCAAACCCGGGGCGCAGGCTCCACGGGTGCCTCCTGACGGCTCCCACCTTTACGGGTACCCACGCACAGGAGCACGCGGCAGCTCGCCTTCGCGCCCCCCGTGGCGTTTCCGCGGCCGGACAAGCAGTGCCGTGCCACGAGGAGCACGGCCGCCCTGCCCGCCCCCCGCGGTCTCCGCGCGGTAGGAACCAGAGGAGGTTTGCGAGGGGCACGGACACACACAGCTCGACCAGGGGAAGCGAGAGGAGCTCCGGGAACCGGCTACCTGGGCGGGCGGCAAGGGATGCATTACTTAATTGCACAGTTGGCAGAGCCTCCGGTGAAGCGTTTAGCGGGACGGGAGTACCTGCAAGGAACAGCAGACTGAGCAAACACCGCAGCAGCACCGCCGCGTTCGCCACACCACCGTCCGCCCGGGGCGCGGGCACGCACCCCGGCACCCCCC